TTAGAAAATAATTCTTTATTTGTCATTGGAAAGCAAAGAGACATGTATACTGGACAGTCGACTTTCTACAGGATCACTGAACCAGTTAACTGTTATTATCCCTTGAGATGACTTTCCTTTGATTTACCAACTTTCTGAAACAATTGAAATTAGATGTAGAACTGTTCTGACAAAAACTGATACTCTCTTCAACACAGGAAGCCTCAATTTTACCCATAAGCTACAAGCATCACCACTTGACTGGTCATTCTATTGTAGCATACAAAGGCTGTAACCTCTAGATATCATCTACTCGGTCATGTGAAGAGCATTGCTGTTGATGACCTACCTTACACAATGTATGAAGTTTCAGCAGTATCCCCACAGGCAAAGTAGATATTATCTGCTTGAGAACAACAAAGGGAACATGAACGAAACAACTTGGTAATTTTCTGGACCATGCAGTTTATGTAAAAACTGCATAGAAATAGATTAAACAAAATATTTAAAAATTCCCATGATAGAAATAAAAGCAGGTATAAAACTTATGATATACCAACATATCAAAGTTTCATAATCTTTGCCAACATGAATTTTTTATATTTTTTTCTTGCTGTAATAGGAATTGTTCCACCAAAGCCAGTAAATTGTACTGATCAAATCCTGGTGGCAGAAAATGGATTTGCTGAAGTGAACAAACCCAGGTTTATAGCTGCAAATGGGAAAGAGTTGGATGTGGAGTGTACTTTAATGAAACCATTGAAGCTTGGAAACCATAGTAACATATGTGAAAGTACTGATTCCGAGTTGCAAGCGAGTGCAAGATGTACTTACGGAATTCAGGTTATAGGTAGGTTACTTGAAGATGTCGCTGCTTATAAATATTAAGCCTAAATATTTTTACCTGGATAAACTATTACTCAGATTTATTAAATTCTAATTTAACTTAGCATAGCAACAAAGAATTTTTAAATTTTCCTCATAAAATAAAATTTACATTTTGATTTATATCATTACAAACTGTCCCATTTTTACTTGGATTGTGATTTTTGTTTGGATCATTTTACTTAATGTAATGTTTGCTGGGATAACATCTGTTAAGTGTTTGTGGTCATAATATTATTTTTCAACAAAAAATTAATTGAATATATTCTGAAATACATAGGTTATTAACAGAAGTTTGATACTGTTACAAAAATTCCATATGTACTTTTTTTAACTTTCAGCACCAAAATGTGAACAACTTCCATCTGTAGAATATGGATTTCCAAGCTGTGTTCCTGGAACTTTTGGTGAGTTTACGCCTGGAGCTGTTTGTACCTACAAGTGTGAGAATGGATTTGTCATTCCAGCCAGTCAGTCAGATATTGTGGCAAGAATATGTCTTTCTAGTTCAAGATGGAATGTCACAAAATTTCCAGAGTGCTGGAGTAAGTGTTATTGTTTCATTTCGAAACTATCTTATATGTATAGGGGCATGCACAGGAATTTAAATTTGACTGCTGTGTCACACCTGTGTATGTAGGGAGGGACATCTTAAACACACGCTCATTATCTATGTAAATTATATCAAAACACACATACATCGTATGCTCAGAAATATGTAGCATCACACTCACCACAGTTACCGAGTCCATACACGTAGAGGTATTGAGGGGTCCAAACCCCTGCTTATCCCTCTTTGTGCAAGCCCCTTCCTACATACACATCCAATAAGTAACAATAAACATATAAAGGTCAAAATGTGAGTTCATTTATTAATCAAAGTGTCATTAAAAGTATTTACATGAAAATATGTGTTCAACAAAAAAAAGATGGTTTTAATGTTGCTGAGAGTAAATGTATCTGTGAAGTCACCTGTTTGAATCACAGTTAAAGCCATGTATGAATATATATATTTTTATCATATAGAGTTGGACCCACCAAAGCCTGTAAACTGTATCAACCAAACAGTGGTGGCAAAGAATGGCGTAGTTAAGGTAACAAAACCCAGGTTTGTAGCAGGTGATGGCAGAGAGTTAGATGTGATCTGCAGCCTGGAAGGACTACTGGAGCCAGGGGAACATTGGAATTTTTGTCATGCTTTTGACCCAGAATTAATGACTGGTGATATTTGTATTTACAATATAAGTGTTAAAGGTATACAGTGTTTGTTTTTCTTGTGTTTGATATTCATTATATCATGTTCTGGAACAAACTAATTGTCAAAGGTGTTTCTCTTTTATCCTCATTTTAATTTGATTTTCTAATATATGGACTTATGTTGACACAAGCATCAGTGGATTAAAACTACTGTGAAAGATGGTTTTGTGGTTGATGAAACATGGTTAAGAAAGCTTAAAACTTTTTTCTTCTAAAATGTATATATCTACAATAATAAAAGGACTATGGGAAACAAAAAAAATAAAATAAAAGGGTAGTGTGTGTGTGTGACCACCATAGCTCCAAGAGAAAGAACCTAGAAACCTGAAATTTTGCACCCTTACTAGGTGGACCCTGAGGGTGTGCACCTGGGTATTATTACTTATCTTATCCAGGTGGATGCACGCCCCATAGTATACCTTGTAGTATATCAATTAGATTAACAACTTCTAATATAAAGAAAAGCCAGTGTGTTTTGGTAACAATGCATTCCAACAATGGCTTTTATCTGATGTTGCTTAGCAACAAAAGTATTAGTAATATTCTTATTAGTCTATGTACTGAAAGTATAAAATGAAATATATAGGCACCAAAACTGGAAAAATATTTGTTGATTTCTTAATCTAGAGTCTTCATTGATTAAAGAGGTTTGTTTTTTATTAAAAACGTTGGTGATATAACTGAAAATACCTTAATTCAGAAAAGAATTGTTCATTAATGATAATTAAATGTGTATCATTACAAATAAATTTCAGTCCCTACATGTGACCCTCCACCACAACCTGAATATGGATATGTAGAGTGCAATATTACAGAATCTGACGAGTATCCCATAGGAACTACCTGTTATTACAGTTGTCTGTCAGACTATGTCATACCTAAAAGCCAATCAAACCTCCGTACAAGAGTCTGTCTTGATCTACTGCAGTGGAATATTACAAGTCTCCCAGAATGTAAAAGTAAGCCTTTCAAAATATATGATGTGCTCTTGTTTTCATATATATATATATATATATGAAACTCCTTCAATCTCGATTAATTGAAAAAAATATTAAATACTTTGAATAGTGTCAAAATAATTAACTTGTGATAAATTGTATGGCACCAGCTATATTGTTCTATATCGATATCAATTAGGGACACGGGTAGAGGATACAACCGATAGAGTTATAATAAAATGATCAGCAATGATGTAGTTCTTGTTGTGTATGTAGGGATAATAAAAGAAGGCTTGTACCCGATGATTATGAGATTACTGGGTTATTAACTTCTGCTTTTTCTTCAGTTTTTACTAATGAAAATTTAAACAATATTCCTCATGTTGAACAGTCCATAGATGGAAACAAAATCAAACAAGATGATCACATTAATTCTGAGCTTGTTCAGAAAACGTTGGGAAGTTTAAAGAATGATAAGGCTTCTGGGTCAAATAATATTTCCTCAAGGGTTTTGAAAGAGGTTAAGGATTGGATATGCGAGCCAGTTGCTGCTATTTTTTGTAAATCCTTGAATAGTGGGCGTATATGAGAAGATTGGAAGTTAGCTAGTGTTACTCTTCTTTTCAAGGGAGGTGATAGAAATTGTCCCAATAATTATAGATCCATTAGTCTTACATCAGTTGTGGGAAAAATTTTGGAAAGTCTGATGAAAGATGATTTACCATACAAATCTTTTAATATTCTTTGAAAAGATTACTGCTTATGTACGAGTGTAGATTTGGTCCATCTGGATTTTCAGAAAGCATTTGACAAGGTGCCACATAAAAGACTTGAAAAGTCATCTCTATAGATGTGGGAGATAATTTAGCTAATTAAATAGAAGAATAGTCAATAAATTACTTAAATTTGCAGATGATATTGAGGTTTTGGGTTTTGCTAGATGTGAAAAGGATGCTGCTGATTTACAAAAGGATTTAGATAATTTAGTGAGTTGACCAAATAAATGGCAGATGGGTTTTAATTATAATAAATGCAAGATAACGTATGTGGGTTATCATAATTTGAATTATAAGTATAATTTTGATGGGAATAACTATAACAGTGTTAAGAAAAAAAGGGATCTTGGTGTAATGGTTGATCAGTCTCTAAAGCCATCCAAAATGTGCATTGTTGCTAGTGGTAGGACAAGTAGGATTTTAGGTTGTATCTACAGAGATATTGAATACAAGTCTAAAGTGGTCATAATTTCATTCTATAGGTCACTGGTTAGCCCACTTTTGGAGTATTGTGTTCAATCTTGGGCTCCTTATGTTAGGGAGGACATTGAATTATTATGATGTAAAATTTGTTTTATGAGGAGAGGTTAGGATCTCTGGAATTATTTTCTCTTGAAAAAAAAGAAGAGTCAGAGGGGATCTGATAGAGGTGTTTAAGATTGTAAAGGAAATTGATAGTGTTGATGCATCATCTTTTTTCATACTTAACAGTGAGAATAGTAGGACTATGGGACACAAACATGAATTTTGGCAGGGTAGGAGTCATCTTCAGCTAAGACAATTTTCTTTTCCTAGGAGCATGGTTGGCCTTTGGAATGGGTTGCATTTGGATGTTGTGGAGGTAGTAAATTTAAATGAGTTTAAGAGAAAACTTGGTAACTATGTGAATGATAAAGGCTGACTTTAAAGATTTGTTTTATAATTTTTAGTTTAAAGGATGGGACAGCCTAGATGGACCAATAGGTCCCTTGATGTTCTTTAATATTATGTTATGTTAACTTGTTATTGATAAATTGTATGGCACATGTTTTATAATTCTTTATTGATATCAATTAACTTGTGGTAAATTGTATGGCAACAATTTCATATTATAAATGTCATTGTCATCCATTTGAGACACATTGTAGAATAATTAATTCCTCAAAGTATTCGATTCTACATTGATTAATGTATAGATGCCACTTTCAGTTTACTCATGTAAATGTGTGTAAATACTGGATGGCATTGCCATTTCTTACATATGCACGTTGAACAATTATTTATTGACTATTAGGGCAACAAATTATATGTCTTTTTACTGTGCTGCAAAAAACTGTCATCTACAGCTCTTCATATCTGAGTAACTGAAATCGTACACCATCAGATATGTTCACAGTCATTTTACAGTTTTGAGCAACTTTTTTATAATTAGGGCTGAATGAATTTGCATGTTTTCATCATTGTGCTTCAAAAATTGTTGTCTGCAAAGTTCTTCTATGACATCACACATATAGGGAAACGGCCTTGACAGCCAGACAATATTCAGGTGATTTCATAGTTTTCAAGTCAACATTAAAAAAATGTTTCATTTCATGTGATGTGCTCTCAGCCAATCACAGCAATGAATTCTTTCTTAATACTAATTACTGTCTTCAAAAAGGGAATGTGAATTATTTGACTTTGCCGCAGAAGGTATATTTATTTAAAACTTTATACAATTTGTAGGTTATATTGTTTAATAATATTGATTCCTCATAAGATGGACTGTCTTATCCATGTGTTTCAGACTTTGTTTAGTTTCAAGTTTGAATTTATATCTTTTTAAAAAAAAACATTTTATATGCAAAAGAAAGACTACTTAAAGATAATATTTTTCTGCAGAAAAAATTGTGCCGTATCCAAAGAAAGGTACATGCAACGATGAGATATTTGAGACAAATGACCCAAGTTCAATAACATTAGATCCTCCAACCTTCGTAAGAGCTCAGGGAGATGCTGCTGTGGTGAACTGTTCCTTGACTATTATCAATAGTTATGGCATCCACGAGAATTTCTGTCGAGCTACAGATCCGGAGCTACAAACTTCTACTTCCTGTACATATAAAATAGAGGTCAAGGATCTTGAGCAAAGTGACAGTGCAATACGTATGTGCTCATTTTGTAAAATTCTTCTTAAGATTCTCCATGCAAGACAGAAGTTTAAAGCATATTTATTGCCAGCATAAGACACTGTATTGCTAACAGATTCAGTTTGACATTTCTCTGTGACATGACCTTCTAAGATGTATGTGAATATATTTTGGAAATATGGTATGAATAACTGAAATATCATAAATTTAAATTAACACTGTTTGGTAAAATGATGTCAATTACTGACATGTTGTATATTTAAATGAATATTTTCTGTGTAAATGATATCAGTGCTGTCATAGCTTACATTTGAGTAAACAGTATTAATGTCTACAATATTCTACACTTTGGGTCATGGTATTAATGTGTACAATATTCTACACTTTGGGTCATGGTATTAATGTGTACAATATTCTACACTTTAGGTCATGGTATTAATGTCTACAATATTCTACACTTTGGGTCATGGTATTAATGTCTACAATATTCTACACTTTAGGTCATGGTATTAATGTCTACAATATTCTACACTTTGGGTCATGGTATTAATGTG